AATACGACGATTTTGATAACGACCATCGTTTTATTACATTATCTATGGGAAGATTTTATAGAAACTCCAACTATTGTAACATTAGATTCAAGAAATTTGCCAGTTCATCGAATCAAGTTTCCAGCTGTTGCTATTTGTAGTGTGAACAAGATCAGCCGAAAAAGAGCAACTGAATTTGCAACATATTTGTAAGTGGAGATCAATTGAATTGTCTTTGGACATACATACAAACATACATATGCATTGGTTGATATTTGATAAAGTTATCGGCATGGTATTGGTGGAAGAGGTCCTGGTCTGATAGCCACCATGATCACCTGATCTAACTCTTTGGACTTTGGTTGTTGCATCAGAGAATTATTGTTGCAGAATGCCGTTCAATGACACCAGATATATTTAGTGAAATGTTCGAACAGAATTTGAAAACAGAATGTATTGTTGTTTGAAAGTTAACGGTAGTAGTTTATTTGAGCAATATATTTTGAATAAAACTTGATTTCGCTTCACTCGCTATTCAGCTTCTTCAGGTTTAGTCTGTTTCATTTTTGGTGAGCTGATCAACACAGCAAGGACGTAAATGTGTAGTAGATAAAAAGCTTAAAATATTGTTGAACATTTCTGTTAGAAATTCGACAGCAAATTTCGGTTTGTCAATATTGTATTTCTAGTCAATACTTTTATATGAATTATATAACTATTGGACATGAATAGTAGAAGTCCTCGATATGAATTGGACAACTACACAGGACACCTATTGTACAAACGAAGTACATCAATCGTACATGTTATGTAAGTTTTGGACAATATCATATAAATCTCCCGCTATATATTTTGAACATATTTTCTCTTCTATAATTTTGTCCTAAAAGAGTCTACATAAAAACTTTACCCCTGCATTTATAGTATTCATTTCAACAGCTTGAATGGTTGATTCATACAAAGATCATTATAATCAAAATTTAAAATATTATGTGAACAAATTGAAGAAGTTATTATTTCACATAACTTCAAATTGGCCTTACTAATGATTTGTATTGATATAATAATAATGCCTTATCGACTCGGGTACTATTTATATTCGAAATCGATGCTAGGTTCGCAATTTCCCGCAATATGAATGGCCGTTACCTTTCGATATTGTTTACCTAGGTATTACCGCACGGTAAGCGGTTTTTGCAAATTTTAAAGGAACTGACGTCTATGAACTCCGCTGACCTGATCGAAACTACAATGTACTGGATGTTTCAATTTGGAAAAGTTGATTCATAATTAAAGATCTTGAAATAAACGCGAGTTTGAGTGATGTTATTCCATAGGCATTTGTACTTCTTGACACATATGAACATTCGAACCCTTTTTGGACCTTGAATGGATATCCATTGGATGGCCTTTATTTTTACAAGTATGTGTCAAATCTAAACCATTTCAAATTTCAAAATTTGATTTTGTATTGTAATCTGCGATATTTACTCATTATTGTTTCTGATTTTCAAGATACAAGATATACCAGGGTCCATTATTTTCCTCGCCTTCCCATAAAAGTAACCTTCAAACTAAATAATCAAGGCTATAATAAACCATTAGTGTATATAATCAAGTCCTATATTATATCAAGAATGAATATGAATATTTTTCAGGAACCAATTCACTACAAAGGAAACAGTTTCGGAAGTTCTTAGTGATATCGAATTACTGGGAAATCTCTATGATTTCAACTTGAAAAACGCCGAAAGGCTAGCTTTAGTACAAGATTTCTTTGACGACTTCGATAACTATACCAGCATTGATGGTCCTATGAGAAGAATGGTTCAGGCAAGTTTTCAAGTCTATTCCTTTATTGTTTTGCTGCTGCAGACTTGAAAATCATACAGTTGCGGAATCAATAATTATTTATAGCTTGAAATTTATAGCTAGCGCCAAAATGTGATGAAATATTGAAAGAATGTAGATGGGACGGAAGTATATACGATTGTGAATATTTATTTAACTTCAGGATAACTTATGACGGTTTTTGTTGTGTCTTCAATTACATGAGGAAAGTATCAAAACGACTAAGGTATGTGAGAAATTTTCCATCCTCCACAGGGGCGGATCCAAGGGGGGGCCATGGCCCCCCTCGGGAACCTCATGGATATGTAAAAATGTAGGTATTTTGAATAAATGAATAAATTAGTGTATATGTCTTCATAGCTAGAAACTTCGCAACAGCTCAGAGAAATTGCGAATTTGTAATATCACTCTGCTCTTTGGCAAATATATTTTCGATAACACTGCCACTCAGTAATTTGCTCCAAACAAAAAACAAGCTAACGATGTTGTTAGTATCACTCTTCTGACGCTTCAAAATAAAAGGGATGATATTCTAAATACCTACTATAAGTATTTCGAAAGAAGCCAAACAGAAATTAAAAGAACTGAATGTTGAATTTTCGATGCCGAGAATAACAGGGAGACTGGTTCATAGACCGAATCCTACGGTTTCCTCAGTGGATGACCATTACATAATAACTGTTTTCATCCCATTGTTATCCTTGATCTGAATGATAGACTATCAGAAAATAAATTGAATCTATACAACCTTCACCTTTGTGTGCCATCAATAACTAAAAACAAAACAGATGAGGAAATATATGGGGTATGAGAAATATACTTGAACAGTTTCCGACCATTGATGAATGATGAAATGTCCATTCAGAAGATCGTTTCTGAAGGAAATGGAAGAAAATGAGGGATACTAAGCAAAATATACCAAACAATGGTATAACTGCCCTGAAGGAATGTAACAAACATTTGTTTCCTAACATAAACATTCTTCTGGAACCATTATGTTGCCTACCTGTAAGTGTTGCATCTTTTGAAAGAAGTGTTTCAACACTCAGAAGGCTGAAAGATTGGATAAGATCCAGAATGGTTCCAGACAGGTTAAATGGATTGGCATTGATGCATATATTCATAGGGGCATCTGCAGCAGTCGAATGTTGATGATATCATCCAAAGATACGCTAGGCAGAAGAAGACTGGAATTTGTTTTCTTTATGTTATATATTTTTATTTTTGTCTGTTTAATTCGTTTTGTTTTTTTAAAGAAATATTTTTATTCACTCTTGAACCCAAGTTCTTCAAGAGAAATATTTTCTCATTTACTTTTTTATCCAATATGATGTATTAAGGAATTTTACATATATTGATGGAATAAAAGTTTGAACTTGTTTTTTTACACCAGTAATTTCGATACTTGAAAGTAAACTAAAGATTTCATGTTTACTAAATTAAATTTTTTTAATGAAAAAGCATTTGTCTCAGAAGGCCACCATATAATTTATCTTCCGCGATAACCTTATTGAGCCGTGACTTTCTATGGCCCCCCCCTCAAACATCGTCTGGATCCGCCCCTGATCCTTCAAAACCCCCGGATTTACCCTCCCATTAATATAAAAATGTTTGTACCGTTTGTGATTTTTTTGCAATTTTTTGATGATCATATTTGAATTCAGTAGGCACAAGAAGGCATATGTCTTTTAATGGGGACAGTGCAATAATAGTGAATTGCAATTTAGAGTTATATCGTTCATATTATGAGTTAGGAGGATTTGAAAAAAATGTTGAGAGTGACATGCAAAATGTAGTTCACTGGTTCAGTAACAGTAACATGAAACTTATCATACATTTTGATAAAACAGAGTTTCTACCATTTACTTCTTACAAAAGTAAATTGCCTGAGTACGATAAGCTGACAATAAATTACGGAAAAGAACCTATAAATATCAAATATACAGATATCTTGGGATTACCATTGATCAACATCTGAGATGATACAAGCACATCCAAAACGTTGTGAATACTTTCAAGTATTTGGTTAATATCCTTGATACATACCATATAAAAATATTATATTATGCATTGGTGGAGTCTCGATTACAGTACAGAATTTTGGCTTGGGGCGGAGCACTGGATGTTAACTTCAAACGAATGATAACTCTACAAAAGTATTTTTTGAAGATTATTTTCAAGAAAAATCGTACTTATCCAACTGAACAACTCTTTGCTGAAACGAAACTATTAGACATCAGGCAATTATTCTATTTTCACATCCTTGTTTTTATATACAAAAATAAAAATATAATCCAAATAATAGACCATTTAGCTGATGAAAATAAAAAATATATTGGTAACATTAACATCCATAAACTAAAAAGAATATTGAAAGACTATATTCTGAATGCAGATAGATTAAGTATTCATGGAATAGTAACCATGAAGAATTTTGTTTGAGAATGAGTTTTTGTCAACTGCTGAATTCAAATGTAATTGTTTTAGTCATCAAGTTAGTAATATATTGTTAATTATGAATATATATACTATGTAATGTAATGTATGTATAAGTGACCATTGCGTCCCTATATATAATATCATATTAATGTTCCTTGTACCATGAAATTAATGTTTTTTCTCTGTTCATACACACTCCACCAGAATGAAATAATATATACCATTTATTCGACTTATCCACAAATGGCGGCCATGGAGGTTCGTTTGACATGAGCTCTGAAATTCAACAACTTCGAACAACTCTTATAGACTCATTATTTACATAAAAAAGCGTTGCAGTGTTGCAAAAATGAATTTAGGTTTCTAATTCATCATCAGTCCACTCGCCCATTATAATAACCATTAGACCTATGAAATAACTAACCATCCTGATACGATATGAGATTGGAATGAAACCAATAAAAGTTGGGATAAAAATCATTTTAGAATAGACTGTCCCCATTTGGGGACACAGTGAGCAGCGAAGGACAAATATTTGCGTAATATCGAACAACATTAAAATTATGAATATTCTCTTCTCTAATGAAAAAACAGTAATACAACCCGCGAAATAGTATAGATACATGTCTCTGAATATCAGTTGCTACACATCTCATTTCCCATAGTCTGAGTGTACCGTATATCAAGAGTTACGCTGTAATATCGAATCATTTTCAAGACGTGCTACTCAAATGAATAAAACAGCACCAAAGGAACCCATGCGACCCAATGGGGCTGGTGTACAGAGGGGCCTTCGACTAACTCTCAATAACAACGTTGACGACTACTTCTTCAGTACTTTCCCAGCCATCGGGTTCACAGTGCAGATATTCTATCCCAACGATTTTCCAGACAAAATGAGTGGTTCGCTGTCGGAAGCATTCATCAATGCCGGAACTGAAGCTCTGATAAGTATGGAGTTCAGTATGACAAAAACTTCGGAAGCGGTGAAAATACTTCCTATAGAATTGGTAAGAAAATTGCAATTTTTCTACGGCTGTAACCAGGGCCTACTCTATCTCACCGGGCCGGAGCATCGCTTTCGTGACGTCACACTAGTAGGGACAAAATCAACGCAGTGGAAATTATCTCTCCCGTTTCATTGATTTACCTCGGGAAAACGGTCACAGTTAGCGAAAAATATCAAGAGGTCAAATATGTACAGAAAAGAATTTTCCAGAAGATGAATCAAATTTCACTGATTTACGATCATTATTTTCAGAAATATTGCATATCAAAATTAATTGACGCCATTCAGAATTGTCCTTTTTCAAACAGCTATCAAAATTCCAATATTCAATTCACAGAAATGATTCAACCATGAAAAGATTCCGCATAGTATTAGATTGACTGAGTTTTTTTTTTGAAATTCCCAAGGGCCAACAACAAACCGATATTTCAATTCAAGTAGAACGATGATTCAGGTGTTCATTACAGAATAGTTCAAAAAGTTCGGACGCCTCCCATGCTAATCCTATCAACTATGGATATATGCTGTCACTGACTTTTTTGTAGGAAATTTGATTGCCTACAAATCGGTATAATACACATACACTTTATCTCGAAGGGCTTTAGCAGCGTTTGAGAAGATGATCAGGACGCACTTTGATGACGTTAGAAATCCTATCACTTGAATGTGTTATTACACAAAAACGCCTATTCTATATCAATTATTTTCTGCTGAAGAGTATATATTTGAATGATAACGTTAAATTTATGAAAAAAAAATTGATTTGAATATATTTGCAAACTATCAAAATTAAAAAGAACAAAATATGTGGAGTTCATATGAACACAACCTAACAAAAATAATTGAGAAAATATGTATCTCAACAATGAGAGATATAAAAATGAATATAACGAACTGAATAACAATATACCCAGAACAACGATATATGAATGAATAAGGAAAAAGAAAAAAAAAACGTTGAATCCTGAAACATAACAAAATAAAAGAAAATGATAGATATCACAAAATGGAATACACTTATAACAAAAAATATATATACATCATCTTAATCACAAACTAATAATAATAATAATAATAATAATATTTATTTGCATTAAACAAAAAAAACATTTTCACTGCAACTTTAAATACAATTATGCAAAATGGAGCTGAAAACAACAACAAACAACAACTAAAAATTGAAATCTGAACTATATCTCATCCTGAAAGTTTGAGTGATTTTTCTTCTTAATTTTTTTTTATTTTGCAATAATTGTTCAACAGAATATTTGCAATGGTTTTAGAAAATGTTCTGCTGATTAAATCAAAAGACCCACAACTGCAACATTGATTCTCGGAATAATTGAGAAGGGAATAATTGATTATAATTTCTGCTAAATTCTCCAAAACTTTATGTTGTGACTTACATTGTAGAAATATTGTTTCGAATTTTTCAGACACCAATATTAGTTGGTCTGAACCATACGCCATTTAGAAATAAAATTAGTAATAAAAAGTATAACGCCCTTTACCAGTCCAAGGAATTACCGCGAAATCGTAATACAGCGAAATTTGGGTAGGTAGGTATAACGGCCCATTTTTTACGCGCTCTTTATATTCAATTTCTTTCGGACTCATTGTAGGTAACTCTACAATTTTTTCACTATTCAATTGATTCATTATCGTAGTTTTTTATATTTAGTTAGTTTCATCTTATTCCAATTCCAAATTTGCAAAAAATAGTATTCTGTAGTACAACGTCCTGATTTTCAATAAAATGAAATTTCGTTACAACGCCATAACTCGGTATTGATTCATCCTATTGGATTCATTTTTTCACCAAAAGTTGAGGAATAGCTAGGAATGAGCTATAGCCTATCAATTACGAACGCATCAGTACGGACTGATGTGAAATCTCAACCTACTAGTGTGACGTCAACGTCGAGAGAGAGGGGATAGACTACGGCCCGGTGAGATAGAGTAGGCCCTGCTGTAAAACAAGACTGCTCTTGTTTTACTGTGTTCGATACATCAATAAGGTACTTTGTATGTCATCAATTTTATTTCCGTATCTGATATCACAATGACTTTATTGGGTTATTATTTCAGAAAAAAAAAACTCATCGCCCATAGAATGTCAAATGTGAAGCCATGGCAGCTCTGTCTAATAGATGAGCATTACTTGACAGGAAATCAGATGGCTACTCGTAGGAAATCACCATCATTCCGTGCCCGTTAAACAATAAACTATTTCTTATTCGCGTTGGAGAAAGCGTACGCTATACCGAGCGGTGATTGACATGAGCTCTTCAAGTGGAATCATGAATCTGTTTTTCGAGTTTGATTGTATTAATTCTAGTCTAATAATTCTATAAATTTTGGAACGTTTTCTCCTCTCTTTCCCAGATCCAGATTCTTTCTCTTCAAATCATGTTTGCATGGTAAAAACTTTTATTAAAATGTCAACAAAATAACCAAAAGGGCCCATATTCAAGGATTCTATGATTTCTGCAAGTTTCGCAAACCCTGAGGTGACAGAGTTGTGTGATGCCCCGAAATAATTATTTCAATTAAATCAATTCCGAATGTATCAAGTTTATTTAGCAGAATAGTCAGCTGAAAATTTGAGATATGTTATTCTAAACTTTTCAAGATTGGACATTGATGCATTTTTAATTTTTTTCTACATAATGCCAACAATATAGCCCTAACCCACAACTCCAGTTATGTGATCGACTAACCGTGTAAAATTATACAAGCCGCTTGGTATTTAACCTGTTAACATCTTCTTGGACAGTTGGACTATAATATGATACAGCTACATACATATCTTTGATGGCATTTTCGATTTTGGTTATTGGGTGTATTTTAGTCATTTTTGTCAATACGTTTTCATTTTTATAGTTTTGGTTGTTTTGTGGATTAATTATGTGATTGAAATCATGAAATCATTCTATTAAATTGTTGTTATAACTGCTTTTTAGAAAACTATTTCGTGTTACAAGATGATGATAATAACAATTATAATAAAAAGCAAAAATACACACACATGAAATTATTGCTACGTGTTTTTTTATAGCGAATGATGTTGGTCATCGAAAAAAAACTTATTTTATCACAGACGATTGAAAGACCGAGCAGAAGCATTTATATCAAAAAAATATTGAGTGAATGAAATATTGGACCCTTTCCGTTTTAGAGACGGTGCAAATTTCAATCGGAGCGCAAAACTATATTTGGTCCCTACAGATATAGCGATTGTTTGGTAGAATGCAAAATACGAAGTATGCAGTCTTTGTGTAACTGTGTACCTTTCACTGTACCTGTTCTAGAAGAAGACGATGGCACTGACAGGTTACCGCTGTGTACATTAATTGATATACCTTGTCTCCACAAGTACAAAGGTAAAATTTTACTTCTTATTTTTTATTTTACTTACTACTACTTCAAATAAAATTATGACAATGAAGTTGCTGACGCAACGCTTTCGTCTAAAAAGGAACACAATTTCAAATTCGTACAGTTAAATAGAGTTTTGTTTTTTATAGCAAAATGGTCACGATATTATCCAAATGATCCGAACGGTGTTGAGAGTGATATTCTACGTCAAGAAAAGCATGATTCTATAAATTGTCCAGAATGCCTACCAGATTGTAATAGTATTGCTTATCAGCCATCAGTCATTTCGACTTCACTTCATAATGAAAGGTGAATATAAGGTTACTCTTGGAAAAATGTCTTCATATATTATATCATTCTTTGAATTACTGTTTCCGGAACACTCTTTTTTTTACCACTAGCTATAGGCGATTGAATTTAAGATCGCAGCGCCAAAGTGGCCAGTTGTGGAACTATATGAAAGTAAATTGTTTTGAAATGGTTCATTTGCTTGTGTGTATTATTTCGATTTTTTATATGGATTTGAGCAAAGAAAACTGTTTATTCGTGTACTTTTGAGATTCGAGGGAGCTTTTCAGCAGGTATTCGTCGAATAAAGAATGTTTCAATACTTAAAATACATGAGATTCGCAAAATAAAAATGTCCCAATTTGAGGTTACTTTAGTTTGCATATCATTCACATTCAGTAGTGAAATAAATATTACAAATCAAGTGGAGTGAATATGATGTTCACAAAGTGGGTATTTGAGATGTATGTATTGTGTGTATGTATGTATAGTCGGCGTCAAACAGTGAAATCCGTCATTCTCTGGAATGCCTAGTCATTTCACGTATTGCCGGCAAACAGCGTAACTCTAAATTTCGTACACCGTTTGCCTGATAGTTTCAGGCACTCCCTGTAGTGACGGAAGGAAGGTTAATTTAGGCCCAGTCAGCCCAAGTTGTTTAGAAGCCGTAGTCTCTTTTGTTCTCTCAAGTGATTTTCTGAAAAATATACTTTCTAGGAAGAAGGTTCATTTAGGCGGAAAAATAGACTGCCTTCTGCATATGCAGGAAGGATATGTTCCTTCCTCAACCCTCCGGCAAACTGAGTAACGGCTGAAAATGGAAGTTACGCTGTTACGTTGTTTGCCGACAATAGGGAATTTCACCATGATTTTTTGAATTTTTTTTCGCGATTTAGAACACGTACTGGGTGAATTCAGCATTTTTTCAATTTCCTTACGATTGCGGTTGATCGTTACCACCGATACAACAAGGCCTGCATGCTCCGCGGGTGACGTTACTTAGTGAGGCCTAACCAGCGGTTCGAAACGACAAGCGCTTATAGCGCTATAAGGCGACCGCGTATTTCGATTTTAGTTTTAGATCATCATTGAGCCGATTTTGCTGTTTTTTGAAGGGGTTCCGGTTAAAAAAGGATGCCAGTCGTCAACTGAGCCCTTCTTCGCACCCCGTTCGATTTTATTATGGAAAAACGAAGTTTTAAAGCAAAAACCAGGATAAAACACAAATATCCACCTACAGCAACCCATTCGAATTAAATATATTGGCAAAAATTGTGGTGAAGGTAAACTTCACACCTACTTATACAGGGCCCGCAGAACATAAACTTATCGTGAGATTGATCGAAAGAAAATTGTGGAAAATGCATTTTATTTTGATTGACATGCCGTTTGCTACAATTACCTATATTTATCTTGGAGAATTCCTATTACCTGAAAAAATAACCAGTGAGTGTTTTCAATTTTCTGTTGTTGGATTTTTCACCCAAGTAGATCGTTACACTAGAAACCGTAATTTTTAAGGGTAAAACTGCATTTATTATGCGATGGTATTTTTTTGGAATTTTTTTTTCGGTCCTCACGTATTTTTGTCTGATAAACCGAATTTTATAATGAAAATGTGAACAAACCACTACCTATTTATTGAGATATTTCAAGAAAAAGTTCGAAATTCGCCTTCTTTCTCCCCTTGTGTTGGGGGCATTTGAAGCTACTTGCTCTTATTTTGTCATTGGACACTTTATATACTCTTGATGTACTTCGATGGCACATTTTTATATAGAAAATTCAACAGGAAATATGATTTTTATGGCGAGTTTTTCATATTTAGTGAACAAGCATTCCAGATGACGACCATTTAATCAATAGTCAATCAAAATACGAGATGTCAAATGTCAATAGATTGCTTCCGAATGACATTACACACGCCATTATTTTGAATGATATTCTTCCTTCTTTTCACTAAATATGGATTAATCTCAAGAAAATCATATTTATAGTTGAATATATAAATTGTCCAATATGATGAAAAAAGAAGGGACATTTGTTCTAAATGCCATCCAGAAGACAGGTGAAAAAGAAGGTGAAATTTGGAACTTTTTAGTCAAATATCTTCATGATAAATATCATGATAAATGCAGTTTTACCTTTTTAAGTAGAGTGTTTGTAGTTTATGTTAATATAATAGTTGCAATTTGATCATTGGAATAAATTCTGCATTCATTGCCACGAGGCAAATGACCGTTTTCAGAAAGAAATTTGAGAATGAGAATTAAAAATGCCCGTTTATTATGAACATTCAAGAAAATTTCCTCGAATTCAGAGATGATTTTGTTGACTATAATATACGAATACAAAACTAACTGCACAATCAAAGCTTTTCTATTTTTCCTCTACTTATACTTTTTATGAGAGAGTAATTGTCTTCTATTATTAATTCATCATTATAAATTAAGCTCTGTTTACTACTGAACTTAGATGGAGTAAAATCCTCGCGGTGAATTGCATATACCCACATTTTCGATAGCTCTTCGTCCAACGGGAAACTAAAAGCATGAACTTTTGAACCACCCACATAATTCCCCCGACAAAAGGGAACACAACACTTGAAAGGCATCGTTATTTCGCCGATCACAACACAAAATATTTCACAAAACAGTAATTTTTCCGCCAATTATTTTGATGAATAAACAACAAAAGAATTCGGGACCGTTTCAAAAACATATGTGAATCACCGATGAATTAACACGAACTGACGCGTTAGTCGACAAGCGATAAAATAAAACACTGGCCTCTCTTGGTGACGTCACGAGCTGGTATCGGTGGTAGGTAACGGGTTGATCCAGAAAAAAATTATTAAATTGAACCTAAATTCAAACGATTCATTGGACGAATACAAGGTGCGTCACACCGCGTCATACACTTCGGACGGACATTCTCATTAGGTAATTCGTCTTGTCACTTGGTCTTGTCACCATTTGTCATTGTATTTGTCACTCAATAAAAACTATAATATGACACTGATAGATCACTGAAAATGAAATGAAATAATGAACTATGAACTAGATTTCAAGGTTAATCTTCTTCTTCTTCTTCTATAGTTTTTTTTGTAGCCATTTTTCTCTCAAGTCACACATCACCCAACCACTCTGTGCTCGAGTTCTGTGTCTGTGGTTTTGTGCAACGCATCCTCTTTGGGTCGTCAGAGGGAGCCGCAAGAAAATACAAGTGACGTCACACCGCGAAAAATGGTCGTTTGGAACTCTCTCGATTTGTAGCACTTTTGAAGTATTAGTTAAACGGTTGTAAAGGAATCAATAGATGTGAGGAAGTGATATTTGATTGATTGACGGATTTCACTGTTTGACGCCGGCATATAAATTCCTATTCTTTTGTATTCATCTATATGAAACTAGAAACTAGCATGTTCATCAAAGATATATTTTCTAAGGAAAGAAGGAATGCTCAAAGAATTATAAGACAGAAACATGTCCCTTCTGATTATGTAACACCATTAAAATTTGTCGAGCATTCCTTCTTTCCTTTGAAAATTCCAACTCCACTTTGAGCAGTATAGACTACCAAAGAATAGAGATATATTATGTATAGCTTGAAGTTAAATTATACTATTTTTCCTGATGTTTAATACATCAGATACATTTTTTCAGCAGCAATACAACTCACGTGAATATCTTTTTCAATTCTGCATTTGGAAATGCTTATAAAATTGACGTTACACAGACCTGGTTCGAAGTCATCAGTAAGAATGATTTTATTTGAGTTTGTTTGAAAGATGAAATTTTTAAAATGTTTTTCGTATGTTTCAGGTAATTTTGGAGGCTTTCTATCATTGTTAATGGGGGTGAGTGTCATCAGTCTCATAGAAGTATTCATTCTTCT